TCACTAAGATGACCATTGAGGCAAAGTTTGAGCTCAAATGGAGGAGTTTAGATAGCACTTGCTTCACAATGTACCCCACTGGACAGAAATACAAAATTTGAAGTTGTGCTCAAATGGATGGTTGGACTGAGCTGAAATTTGGTGGAGAATGATCATTTGGTCATATGAAGGCACTGTAAAAATTGCATACCATTTGGACATACCAAAATGGTACTTGCTTCATAATGCTCTTCTCTGGACAAAATTTTGGGGAAAATATTGGAAGAAATTGACTAGATGAAATGAGTCCAAATTTGGTGTAGAGAGGTTATATAGGAAGGAGAAGGTCCTGCTAAATTTTCAGCAATTATGGAGCAATCCAAAATATAGTTGCTTCACAAACTGAAAATTTGACCAGAAACAAAGATTGGATGATGAGATCACATGGATTGATGGATGAAGCTCAAATCTTGTGGAGAGGGATGATTTGATAATATTGAGGTCATGGAAAAATTTCAACTCATTTGGGTAAGCCTAGCTAGCACTTCCTTCACAAAGCTTCTTTTTGGCCAAAAACTTTGGAAATTCACTGAGGAAGATTTACTAGGCAAATGAAGTTGAATTTTGGCACGTCAAAATAATATGGATAGGATAGAGTGCTCAAAATGTTTGTGAGCAATCAAGCAAAGATAAATAGCACTTCCTCTACAAAGTGCCATTTAGAACAGAATAGGAGAATGAATAATCTTGAATTATTTTTTGAATTGGACAAGAATGGATTTTGACATATTGGTGGAAGATATGATCCCAACAATTTATGAGATTTTTTGGAAATTTTTGGAATGGCAGAAATATAGGTTGCTTCACAACCTAGGGCAAACATGGTTATTCCTTTAATAGAAACATGAATATTCCCAAGAAAAAGAATTTGTGATTGGGCTAAGTTGGAAATGACATGGTCTTGGGATGGGTTTGAGGATGACAAGCCACTTGGGAGAGTAAGAAGAGATGATATTCCCAGGTTTCCAGACCACAAAGCCACAGAAAAGCAATCCAAAGCAAAAATTCAAATAATCCAAAAGAAAAGGAAAGGGCCAAAAATTAGGGTGTTACACCACCGGCGAGGCGACGCCGGCATGCACAGCCGGTGTCTTGCCCTCTGGCAGGCCACCTTCGTCCCCTTATCCAAAAACCAACTTCCATCCATGCAGCGTAGGGATCCTTCCCCTCCGGCTGAAGCATCGGTCGATGGTTCCACTCCGATGAGCGGTGGGCAAGCGAGCCGCCCTTTGCGCTAAAGCATGTACCTCTGAAGCTCACAGCTGCCGGACATGGGGAGGACAATGGAGATCCGCCTCTGCCGACAGTAAACTTGTCAGGGATATCCATTTTGTCGGAACGGATATCCGACGGCGCCAGCCGTAGACTAGTTTTATCTTTAGCCGATATCGGTTTTAGTTAAAAATAGGGACCGTCTATTCTACATCTGGATGAAATCCAATTCGCTTTCATCCAACTAAACGATGACAGGTGTCTCTGTCTCATGTCCCTTGTCCTCTATTTTTCTTTCTTCCCCAGCTTTTAAAACAACACAAGGGCATACGATTAATTACAACAACTGAGATGAAAAGGGACTAAATGAGCAATTAAAAAGAATACAATTACAATCAAATATCATCACTGGAATATACAAAAAAAAGATGGTCCTGACGAAATAAATTACACAAATAAACTGAAAATAACTTACACTTTATTAGGCACTATCTATACAACACCCTGCAGAAAAACTAAAATTAGCATCAAGCATGACAACAAAAAATAAAACCTATGAAAACAAATAAAATGATCTAAACGCGATCAGTAGTTGCATGACAAGGCCTATACGATATACACTGCAAAAATCACCAATAGGATAAGCAAGAAACAGTACAATGACACTAAGAATTACATAGTAAAAAACACTAAGAATTACGGTGTGAATACATTATAAAATCCACTAAGATACATTGCAAAAAGCACTAAGAATTATAATGTAATTACACTGATGAAATACACTGTAAATCAACTAAAGAATTACATTACAAGAGCACTAAGAATTACAGTGAAGATTCACTAAAAATTACGTTGTAAAAAGCACTGAAAACATTGCAAAGCCACTGAGAAATACAGTGGGAAAAAAAACACTGTAAATCCAGGTAGAATTACAGTACAAATACACTAAGGATCCTCTAAGAATAACGCTGAAATTCCACAAAGGATTACATTATAATCAACCACTAAAATACATTAGAGAATTACACTGTAAATCCAAATAGAATTACAGTGTAAAATTCGCTAAGAAAATGTAATTCCTGGAAATTCTGAATTAAATTTCATGAATGTACAGGCACAGGTTGAAGGAATTTTCCTGAAAATATATACCAAAATGACTTGGCATGAGACTAACCGAATGAAATTGCACGGATGAGCATACACATTTAGAAAACTACTTCAGCGTAAGTAACACTAGAAAATACTGGAAAATAGCAATACAAATCATTGCAAGTTACACTGCAAAAATCACTAAAAGGAACACTAAAAAACTGGAAAGTTTCAAAGAAAAACACTGCAACGTGCACACTACTGAAATTACAATAAAAATTAAATGAAATTACAGTGCAAATATACACTTTAGTTGTTCAGGGAGGTGGTTATGATTACTAGTAGTAGTGCTAATTCATACATATACTAGAAACAATACAGAATGAGTGGAGCAGAAGGTAGATGATAGACTAAAGGCAATCATCACCCAATCCCAAATCCCAAATGTGCAGCAAATTAGATTACATTAGATTGGAGAAGGAATAGGGGGCAAACAGTCGGAAATCCATTGGTGCTCCCTGGAGCGCGCGCTCTTGCACGCGAAAAAGCCATTTCAAAGTGTGAAAAATTCCAAATAAAAATTTGGGGCATACATCTCGACATTATATGTGTGCACGTCAAGTTTCAGAGAAAACCAACATTTTTTGTGGCTTGTGTAAAAAAGACAAAAAGATATCTTGTGAAAAGCATTTTTTAACACCGGATTTTGCCTTTTTCACACTCTACACATAGTTGTCAGTTTTTCGCGAAACGACTTTGTAAGCATGTAAAATGTCAAGATGTATGCGTCAAGTTTTTGTTTGAATTTTTTTGTCATTTTAAAATATGTTTAAAACACATTTTGAAAACAGGAACACGCCCTCCCATCATCCCATGTGCCCAAATGCCACTCTCGGCAAACAGTAGACTAGTTTGGTTGCTAGGTAGCTGATGTTGAGCGAGGAAACAAGCCGTACAAGCAAAGCGAAGGGATCTGAACCGAAACAAACAACAGCCCATCCGACAGGGACATGGACAGGGACATGCACGTGGGTCTGAACTGAAACAAACAACAGGCACTAGCGCATGACAACTAGCCGAATTCAACCAAACAATAATTTCAAAAAAAAAAAGAATTCAACCAGACAATCTAGCTCACACGACAAGCCAGATTCAACACAGCTGAGGGAAATTACCACACACAAAAAAGATGAAAAGGGGATAGATCTGACACTAGAAGTGACACATTACTCAAATTTACAGTCCCGAACCACTTTAACTTAACTGGAAGAAAATCAGTCCACTAACGACATGATCAAGACAATCTCTATTTCCTAAAATGTCATATCCAAACCTGAGAAAATCAAAACACACATACGAGGCAGCACAACTGCATCCAAGCACTCACGGATGCGAAATCCAACACCCAACTAGCACATGCAGGTACAACAGGAGAAAAGCAAGAACACTTGCATGCTAAACAAATGAGAATTACAAAATTCACTAAGAATTACAGTGTAAAATGTCTAAGAATTACACTGTAAAGCCTCCAGTTTCAAAAACGCTGTAAAGCCCCTAGGAAATACACCGTAAATCTATTGGGGATTACACTGTACAATCCACTAGAAATTAGAGTGTAAATACACTGCAAATCTACAAGGAATTACAGTGTAAATCCATTGAGAATAACAGTGTAAATTCATAGCGAATTACACTGTAAATCCATTAGAAATGACACCGTAAAAAACAATGGGGAATACACCGTGAACCAATTCAGAATTACAGTGCAAAACATCCATCGACAAAAAACTAGAACCACAACAAATTCAGAAACACAACAACTTCTAGGTGGATGTGTGTGAACTGTATTGCAAAAACTACAACCACGCAATCAAGTGGATGTCAGCCTAGAGAAAACCTACATGCACAACCTGGAATAGATCACTATCGCATACTACTTACTACTACAACTAAACAAGCCAATCTAATCAAACAACCAACCGAATAAATAACAACGCCGCAGTTAGAAATCGATCAAACTAACAACGCATCCCCCTCATGGAGCACACCTCCAGTCACCTCGCCCTACCACAGGGCACCCCGCCGTCGAAATCCGTCATGGCAAACGAGAATCAAACCAAGAAAACGGCAGAACCTCGCACATCTACACGAATGGTTGCGGGGGAAATACACACAACAAGATCTGACTATCAATTCCGTAAAAATATGTTCAAAATATAGACGTTTTTGTCCGGTTTGTATGAATTCCACTGTGTTTGCACGAGTTTCATCTAATTTGTTAAAAAAATGTTTGAAATGTATGTGGGCACCGTTGGATGATCAGTCCTCGGACGGATGGGAGAGGAAATTTGTGGGTCATCGTTGAAGAAGCCCTTAGCACTCTGCCTTTAGATCTCTTTATAAGAAAGAAAGAAAAAGAGTGAGCCTGACTCAGAAGACCAGCCCCTTGCCATCCTCGTGCTGCCTTAGGCTATAGAAAAGGAGGCCACGCGGATCTCCAGGATCAATAGGCTCGTTCGATCGGAGTAGTAATTAAGCCAGAAGTTGACCAAGGAGCTCGCACTATCAAGGGGCACGAGCACGCGCGCGGACCAAGGGCTACTATAGGCTGTTGTTGGTCAGCCAGCTCTCCTTCCGGTTCCGGCACGGCCAATTCCAAGATGGAGATGGTGAAAGCATGCATGCGGCCTGCCGCCTCCGCGTCCTCGCGGCCCCGCGTGCTCGTGCTCGGCGGGACTGGCCGTGTCGGCGGCTCAACGGCCACCGCGCTCTCCCAGTTCCGGCTCGACCTCAACATCCTCATCGGCGGAAGGAACCGGTACGTGCCTCAGTGCCTCATGGCCAGGCTAGGTAGCTGCTTCTCCCGTGAGCCTCTCGCGTGCTTGCTGTGCGTGCATGGTTTTGCTCATGGTCGATCGAGCTGACCTGAAGTACATCATTGATCTTACCATCTTCGTTTTACTCCCTCCGTTACGTAATATAATACTCATTCCGTTTTAAAATAAATATCTCAATTTTAATATAACTTTATATTAAAGTTAATAGAAAATTAAGACACTTATTTTGAGACGGAGGGAGTTATATTTTTTATGCTACTAGTGTCAAATATGATTTTGTATTATAAGACGGAAGTAATATAAGATGTTTTGCTAAGCTAGTTGAGCCTACCAAAAATCTTTACTCTGTGACTAGCTAGTTAGGCCAACTCCACCGCGCGACCCTAAATTGTCCGAGCGCGTCCGTTTAAAGCAAAAGTTGTCCCAACGCTATACCTCAAACGGACAAAGTTGTCCGCATGCATCCGTCCGTCCCTGCCCCAAACCCGGAGCATCTTTGCGCGACCAATGCTCCCAAGCGGACAAAAAAGGCGCTCTCGACCGCTGCTCTCGTCCGTCCCGTGTCCGCCTGGTCCCACAAAACAGTGACTGAACCGCACAAGCTGGGTCCCTTCCTCGATCCCGGCCGCCGCACGCGTCGCCGGTGGACAGCGCCGCGGAGCCGCCGTTCCCTGCCTGGATCGAGCCGCATGGCGAGGTGGGCGAGGCAGCTGCAGCGAGGTGAGGCGAGGCGGAGCAGGGCGAGCTGTCACCAGGAGGAGCTCGAGGCGGGGTGGCGAGCGCGGGGTGGCGCACGAGCAGCAAGGACGGCGAGCTCGGGGCGGCGAGGCGCGGGCGCGCGGGCGGCGCTGGCCAGCCCGGTG